CTATCCTGGATAGGATTGAGCCACTGGACTGAGCCCTCCTCGGGCACACGTTTGCACTCTATGTTCATTCTTTGCTTTAAGTAAGTTTCTGCTTTGTGTGGATGATTTTAGTTAAAATTCCTATATAGCGAGACAGTAATGCACCCCACCCATCACTGTACCTGAAAGTATGGCCCCCCCCCCACTTTTGGTGCCCAGGGGTTAATGAGTGCCAAGGCTATTACAAATCTGCAGGAGATGTCAAGGTAGCACACCACCACTCTCTTAACCCTCTGAGGCAGGACTAGTAAGACCTTCTCACACTACAGACCACCACTCCACATCGTATATAATAGCGAAGACACACTAGTCCAGGTCCGCGAGCGGTCGTGGTGCTGTGATTCCCTTTGGCCCTAGAATAATGCCCAGTTTTCAGAGGCCACGTACCCTGAACTTGAAAAGTTCTGAGGACATAGTTGACTGGCTAACACAGGACACCCAATCTTCTACAGCCTCCGCCCAGAACCTTGATGCACCATCCTCCTCCAGCTTAGCTTCAGGCACCTCTCAAGATACCACTCACCCGCCTGCCGCCACCACCAAAACTAGCACCACAGCCGCTTCGGTTGGTATGTCAGAGGAGTTATTCACACATCCGTTTGAAGAAATGAGTGATGCGCAACCATTATTGCCAGAGGATGTAGATAACAGGGATATGTCTCAGGCAGGCAGCATACACACATGGACGTACGGTGTGATGATGATGATGATGTTGTACCCGCTGCTGCTTCCTTTGCTGAGTTGTCAGATACAAGTGAAGCGGTTGATGATGACGATGCGTCCATGGATGTCACGTGGGTGCCCGCTCGCCAAGAAGAAGCTAGAACAGGGTGAGTTCAGATGGGGGAGACAGGGAGGAGGAGACTGAAGAAGCAGGGGAGGTCGTCAGAAGGGAGCTTTTAGTGGCACAGTCAGACAGCATGCATCGACACTGGGTCAGCCCGGACAGCACGCCAATCAACGCATGCTGTGTCCACCACCAGAATGCCGCCATTGCAGAGAGCCTCCTCTCAGCAGTGTGGAATTTTTTTTGTGTGTCTGCTCTGACAACAGCGATGCCATTTGCAACATGTGCCAAAAGAAACTGAGTCGTGGGAAGTCCAACACCCACCTAGGTACAACTGCTTTGCGTAGGCACATGATCTCACATCACAAACGCCTATGGGATCAACACATGAGTACAAGTAGCTCGCCTACTTTAAGCCGCCAGCCTCCTCCTGGTCCAGCATCTTCAGCCACGCCAACCACTGCTGTCCTCTGTCCCTCTCTTAACCATCTGCTAATTCGCCCGCTTTGGAGCAGCCCACGCCATCTTCCCACAGTCATGTGTCTGTCAAGGGACATGTTTGAGCCGTAAGAAGACAGTCGCCAGAAAGTCACCCCCTTGCCCAGCGTCTGACTGCTGGCTTGTCCGAACTATTAGCCCGCCAGCTTTTACCATACAAGCTGGTGGAGTCTGAGGCGTTCAAAAAATTGGTAGCTATTGGGACACCGCAGTGGAAGGTACCCGGCCGAAATTACTTTTCGCAAAAGGCAATCCCCATTACCTGTACTCAGATTAGTGCAAAAGGAAACTAATAGTATCTCTGGCACACAGTGTTGGGGCAAGGGTCCATCTGACCACTGATGCCTGGTTGCGCTGGTCAGGGCAGGTATGCACTATTATTGGGTATGCTACCCCCAAGCATGCATGTTGCAAGGAGTTGAGTGCAGCCAACCCCTCTTGTTTTATATATATTTGGGAGTCTAGCCACCTCCTTGGTTTTGCACCCCTCCCTGTCACAGGTGCCTCATCCCAGGGCCCTTTTAGCCTTGTACCGCAGAGAGCCCCAGATGGAATTTTTTTCCCCAAGTAGGTTAATCTCATAAGAGCAGACATTAGGCTGTTTGTGTAGGACCTGCCAAAGATGGGGTACATTGACGTTGTGGCAGGCTTATGCAATGTATGATCATATAATGTAACTAAACCCCCATTATTTTTGCCTAGATTAGGTGTTTTTAAAACAAAAATAAAATCTTTCAACATTGAAGTTGCTGTTTAGTGGATAGGTGAGTGCGCTGGATCTTGTGTAATATATATATATATATATATATATATATATTATAATGATATATGAGAAACAAGTAATCCTGCACTCCTAGCTACAATATTTTCTGCCCAGTGCTTATCAGCCATGACTAGGAATGACTAGCGATCCCAGGATAGCACTGTACAAGGTCTTAGTTAAAAGGTAAAATACAATTTTTATTAGCTCAAAAATTTAAAATCAAGGATCATTCTGATGAAAATCTGTGGATACAGAATGAAAGGTTGATTTTTTTTTTTTTCAATTTATCTATTAAACGTTATATTTACACTCCCAATGAAGACCATAGAGATGCCTGATTTATAAATAGGAATATATGATATTATATTATAGTCCAATTAGCAAACCTCGTTAACAGATACTAATGATTAAACTGATAACAATTACTAATGGTTCACAATAGCTCAAAAAAATACTGTTATCAGTCTGTGTCATACAGCCCTTGCTGCCAAAAGGCGTGCTGCTGCACTGCTCCACATCACGGATACTAACAATTAAACTGATAACAGGAGTACTAAAACACCACTCATCACTGGTTCACAATAGCTTGGATTTAAAAACAAAAATTTTTTTTCACTGATTTGAATAGAACATGTCATGGTAAAAGAGGATGGAGCTGAGTACTAGGTGTCTAGCTTGGATTTAAATCACTGTTATAGATTGAATAGCAGTTAGTTATCTTCAAGCAGGTGTGTCAGCCCTACAGCTGTACATACGCTGCCACCTCCTCTACTCCTCCTACTCCATCCTCTTCCATAACCTCCTCGGCTTAGTCCTCTTCTGCTGCTGCGTCTTGCTCCACATCAACGGATAGGGGGCGTAACAGTGATTAAACTGATAACAATAGTACTAAACACACCACTCCTATCTGGTGGCACATTAGATTGCACGCGCAGTGCCCCAAATTTGTTGTGATCTGTGAGTAAGGTAAACGGTTATCCATACAAGTAGGTTGCAGCTTTTTGAGGGCCCACACCACCGCTATGCACTCCTTTTCAATGGCAGTGAATATACTTCGCTGTGCAAAAGTTTACGGCTTAGATAAGCCCCGGGTTGCTAGCCACCATCTGCTCCGACTTGGCTCAATACTGCTCCCAATCCAAGCATAGAAGCGTCTGTATGGCCGAGAAAGTGTTTAGTTGGATCAGGAGAAGAAAGTACAGGTGATTTAATGAGCGCCGTCTTGAGCTGTTGGAAGGCCTGTTCACACTCTGGGGCCCATACTACTATCTTGGGGAGGTTTTTACACGTTCCTATATGGCACTTACTGGGCTTTAGGGTCAGTCCGGACTCCCTAATCCGGTCTATTACGGCTCCTATGTGGGTCAGGTGTTCGGGCCAGGAGCTGCTAAAAATGTCTATACCATTCAAGTAGGTGTGTATCAGTGTGTATCAGGGATCCTTAGGACAGGTGTCAATCCATATCTGCCAAGTGACCCTATGTTGGGGGACAGTCTCTATTCTGATCTGTGTCCGTGTGCATCAGGGGCTCTGAGGACAGGTGTCAATCCATATGTCAAGGTGTCAACATGTCATATGTCAGGTGTCAATCCATATTGATTGTGATTTAGGAATGTTAGGTGATTTCTGCCCTTTATGGATTAAAACCAGACTCTGTATCAACTGTGTAATTTTCCATGGGAGTTTTGCCATGGATCCCCCTCCGGCATGCCACAGTCCAGGTGTTAGTCCCCTTGAAACAACTTTTCCATCCCTATTGTGGCCAGAAGAGTCCCTGTGTGTTTTAAAATTCGCCTCCCCATTGAAGTCAATGGCGTTTCGGGCGGTTCGCCGGTTCGCGAACATTTGCGGAAGTTCGCGTTCGCCGTTCGCGAACCGAAAATTTCGGGTTCGCGACATCACTAGTCTTGGAGAATAAAGAATATTCGATCTGTTTATCTCCCACTTGAAGTTCAAAATTCAGATAATGGACTTTTTCCTGGCTGATATTGGCCATAGGCTTGATTGGCATGGGAAGTTGATTCAAGTAATCCACTATAGCTTTTGCTTCTGTCATCGTACCTGTCCATACAAGGAGCAGGTCCTGAATGTAACAGAAGTACCCAAATATGTTGTGGCCAAACTGTGACAATATTTACTTTTCCTCAAATATATGCACACATGTATGCATTTGAATACATGGGGCCATTGCTGCCCCCATTGAAATGGCTGACACCTGTAAAAAACACTGATCCTCAAAGCATAAATAGTTGTTTTAGAGAGACAATGCCAGGAGTTTGAGAACAAACTCTATGGGAGGACCTCAATAATTATTAGACTGTTTAAGAACCGACCTCATAGAGTCAAACCCTCCTCGTGGGGTATCACAGTGTAAATACATGCCACATCCATAGTGAATAAAATAGTTTTTTTCTCTCCAAACTGCAGTTGAGTAAGTTTAGCAAGCAGGGTCAGGGTGTCTTTAACACAGGTGTGTAGTTCTTCAACTGAGCCTTTAAATATATGGTCTAGCCATTTTGCAATAGGTTTGAGTACTCCTTCCACTGCTGACACGATTGGACATCCTGGTGGACTCTCTGGTGGACTCTCTGGGTTCTTATATATCTTTGGGATACTATCAATGACTGGTATACGTGGATGTTCCTTGTGTAGAAATTAATATAATTGAATATCAATGTATCCAGCCCTAAGCGCCATCAAAAGGGTCTCGTTGACTCTGAGTTGAATTTCTTTAGTAGGGTCCCCCTGAAATGGGTGGTAAGTGTTGTGATCTTGGAGTTGTAGTTTCAATTCTTCAGCATAATATTTATAATCCATGACAACGATTCCTCCTCCCTTGTCTACTGAGCGAATCACTATAGAAGAGTCATCTGCTAGTTATTTAATAAGACACCGCTGTTTCATGATGTTATGTGGTTTGTTCTTATTTTGTGACAATTTCATCTGGGTTATTTCATTTGTGGTTGACAAGAAAGTTTTGATTGATGCTTTATTAGACTTTGGGTCAAATGCTGACTTCAGCCAAAATTGATCATATGTCTCCATGTTGGCTCGGGTCTTTGAGACTTCAGGACGGTCAAAGTATTCTTTTAGTCGCATGGATCTGCCAAATTTGAACAGCTCTATGTTCCACAAAAATTGATTGGGGTGTGCAGAAGGTACAAAAGAAAGACCACGGCTTAGTAGATCTATCTCTTGTTCATCCAGTGGTCAATGGGATAGGTTGAAAATTGGGACTATTTTGATAGAGATGGTTGGCCCGTTGGACAGCCCTTGCCCTTGTATCCTCTTCTGGTTCTCCTCCTTTGTGGTTTGTTGCTCTGCTCCTGGTGATGGTGCCTGTGTCTCTGTTCTCTAAAAAAGGAGCTTGACGAATCTCACTTTCTGAAGCAGACTCCGCTGAGGTTATGTAAATAGTGTTTATTTTAGGATGCACAATGCATTTACGCTGTCTCCTGGGTCTGCGTGGATTATCCCCTGAGACCCATCTGTAGACTCTGTGGCTTTGATAGTCTAACTGAACTTTTTTGAACTTCTGTTTTTTGAACTTAATAAGTTTGTTTTTATATTTCAGTAGTTCCTTCTTTAATTTCTGTTTTAATTTCATGCCGTCAGGTGATGCTAAAAGCACTGCATGTTCGGTTTCAAAGCTCCGAATCTTTTGATTGATGTCTCCCAGGTCAGTTTTGATGTCTTGGATAATAATTGTACGTCCTATGGTGGGAATATTGGAAATCCTAAACCCGGGTGGTATTCTCTTGGCCTTATAATAGCCCGAGATGAACAGGTTGTGCAAATCTAAAGCAATACTTTTCTTGAGTAACTGAAGCAACTTAAAATAAACATCTCTGGAGGTCAAATGGTGGGGTAATTGGAGACCAGTTTGTTCCCAAATGATATTTTTGGCATCTTGTAAGGATTGTAGAGTCTCTGCTTGCTCTAAGTACCCTCCAGCTTGTGAAAAAAAACCATCCATACTTGTTCAAAGATTAATTCAATCCACATATATTGAAAGGTGCAGAAAAAAATTGCTTAAGGAGTAAATATACTAAATTATGCAAAGTGCTGGTTCTTAGGAAGGAGGTAGATATAGCCCAATCTCCCTTAAAATACAAAAAACTAAATATTCCTTGCACTCACACTGAAAATAGTAATGCTGGGTGCCAAAGCCTTGGGGCTGATGTAAATAGAATTCCACAAATCAGGCTGCACTCACGGGCTTCATAAAATCCAAGAAGTTTATTATACATTATATATATAAATGAAACCAAGAGGGCTGCACTCACCTGAACATGCATACATTATAGGGTGCTGCTGGGGCCAAAATATACAAAATACACAATCCAGCGCAATCGCTTATTCACTAAACAATTTTTTTTAAATCTTAGAGATTGTGATAGTTTTATTTAATCCACTTAATTGGGGAATATTTCCTTACTGGAATATGCAATACATGATCATATAATGTAACTAAACCCCCATTATTGTTTGCCTAGGTGAGGCGTTTTTAAATAAAACTATTACAATCTCTAAGAGTTGAAATCATTGTTTAGTGAATAAGCGAGTGCGCTGGATTGTGTATTTTATATATATATATATATATATATATATATATATATACCATATATAATATACAAATTATATCATCTACTACATCATTCTACACTAACCATAATGTGCAAAAATTAATAATACAATTGACACAAATACTCAATTCATAGGTATAGACCTTTTCACCTTATATAGAAATCAGCAATTCTTTCAGAATGTGGTGTCTCAGTAGAATAAGTAAATTGTTTTGTTAAGAATGGGAGATTAGGACACCATCCTCTTAATTCTTCAACAAATGGCTTTTCTTTTGAGAGACTTTATTTCTCTAGAAATCCATATTTTAAGATTAGTGAAATTCTACATATGTCTCTAGGTTACAGGAATAAATAAATAAAACAATGATGTGACAAGACCAATCTCGCCACTGTGCATTGGAGGAGCCTGGTTGCCCGCCTGCTGCCTTTAAACTATGGCCCCATGTTGAAACGCTTGATTTTCCCCTGCAAAGACACGAAAGCTGGGTCATTCGGTGCTTGCCCTGTTTGAGCGGTGATACCCCAGATAGCTATGCCATGGAGCCCATTCGTATAATGAAAGACTATGGGAAAGATTTTGGCTCTCTGGCAATTGAACTGTATGTGTGTGATCTGAGCGCCATTCAGTAATAATGTGCGCTCAGATCTGAGCTATCTGGGAATATGTTGAATGTACCTGTTTTATGCAATGGCTGCACAGTTATATATTTTTATGTATTTTATTGTCCTTTGCTGCCATGTGTTCAATTAAGTTTTGCCTCTGTCCTTGGAGATAATTGGATTACTTCCCAATTATCTCCAGGATAGAAGACTCTGTGGAACTGGTTTTGGGCAGAAAAGCCATGCTTCATTTGGTCACAAAGGACTACGATCTATCTTTTGAACCACTGGACCAATTTGTATGATTTTGACGTATGTTTGTATTTGGAGTATGCTGATTCTGAAAATGTTTTATGTGAATGTGATGCATACTTTTAATGAATAATGTGGAAAAACTGTATTTCTCTGCCTGTGATAACTACATTACCCATTGTGTAAGGTAATTGTATCACAGGCAGAGGGGAGAATTTTGTGTGGGAGTGTCTGAGTGTATTGTACGTGTTTATTGGTTGTTTTCCAAAACCCTGTGGGTGGTACTAATGTGTAAGAATGTGTATATAAGAACAATAAACCCACAGCTCTGTCTGTTCCTGCTTGACCCTCAAAACGGAGCCTTGTCTCGCTCTTGGGGGGATTTATTGAATGCTGTTCCAGTTCGACTGCTAGAAGTGTAAACCTATTCGTATGGTTTTTCCTATTCGGCTGTTTACAGTATTCGTATGTTTGAGCGCATTCATATGCTTCTCCGGTTTGGTGGATTGGTGTCTACAGTAGCTGCCTGTTTCTGTAAGGGGAAGATCTTCTAAACGACGGTTTAACCCTTTTATGCCTGGGGGTGCCGTTACAAATATAAATCAGAAGTTACATTTGAATTAAAACATGAAAATATATAATGGAGTCTATGCCAATTTAAAAGCCAATTACATGAGGCTAGAAGAACATACACAGAACATGGACATAGTTAGATATTTGGATTATACCATACAGATTTCCATACATCCCTTTTATATCATGTAAACCTGCTGAACACTAGCTAAGGCCTTTTTTTTATAGTAGCTAGTACTATTTATTTAACTCCTTAAGGACTCTCAAAGGCAACATAACCAATGTACGTCTGACAAAAAATGGTCCTTAAGGACCGCGGACGTACCTAGTATGTCAGCGGCATTCCTTATTACTTACCAGATCGCCGCCATTCCCCCGCCAGCAATCCGTGTTGCGCTCGGTCTGGGGGGTACTGCCTGACAGCCCAGGCATTCCCACCTCGGCAAATTAGGCCCCCGCGGGCCATGTGATCACTCTGAAAGGACAGCAATAGCCGTCCATGCATCTAAGAGTAAGCGGGCTTCAGGACATATCTTTAGCAGTGAAATTTCTTATATTCCATCAGGGTAAAAATTGTGCTTCATCCTAAAAGCCGTTAATCAGCTCATCCTTCTGTAATTATGTCACCTCCTCTCTGGGACTAGATGGCATATTCTAGAGTTAAAAAAGGGCATTTCAGATGTACTTATCAATATCAGCAAAATTTAGAAGATCTGATCACCTGTTGTCATCTTCTAGGGAAGTTTAGGGGCAATGAAGCCTCTCGTAATTCAATTTAAATTTTTCTTCAATCATAATGGCCTATGCTTCAGTAGTTTTGATTCACCAGCATCTTTCTCAGCGCATTGCACAAAGGCAATGGCCACTTTGTGGCTGCTTTTTGGTCAGCTTTTTGCACCATATTAAGAAAAAAAGAATTTATGGTGAGTAAAAATTTCAGTTTTTATTTACATATAATCTCATACTAAGTGTATTTTTATATTAATATATATATAAATATATATATATATATATATATATATATATATATATATACACATATTAATATAAAAATACACTTATATTTAAATTACACACGTATATATATATATATATATATATAATATATATATAGTAACAATATATATATTAAAAATATATAAAATAATGTAAAAAAGTTAAAAATAATTAAAAACATTATTGTAATTATATGTAATTTTATTCTAACTGTATTTTGATATTAATATACACATAAATATATATATATCAAATTACACTTAGAATGAAATTATATATACATCTATGTATATATATATATATATATATATATATATATATCTCAATATGCATAATTACATAAATATACACGTAGACTTCAAATATATAAATATGTATATATATTTAAATTCTACATGCATATTTATGTAATATTTTAAAATAATTAAGTAATTTTATTGATTGCAAGTTAAGGGACCTGCCTGACAACCAAGACCGAAAGTCTAGAGAATGTAATTTTGCTAGCACAATATTTAACCCTGTAACTTTCCATGACACCCTGAAACCTGTACATAGGGCGTACTGTTTTACTTGGGAGACTTCACTAAACACAAATATTAGTGTTTTAAAACAGTAAAACATATCACAGCGATGACATTGTCAGTAAAAGTGATGTTTTTTGCATTTTTCACACACAAACTGCACTTTCACTGATGATATTGTTGTGATATATTTTACTGTTTTGAAATACTAATATTTGTGTTCAGGAAAGTCTCCCACGTATACATGTTGAATAGTGTTTTTGAAAGTTACAGTCAGGGTCACCATCAGAAATTTGGGGGCCCCTAAAACAGCCCAAGGTTTGGGCCACCTGGGGGACCGCCTCCAAGCCCACCCACAGATATACACACACACAAACACACACACTAATACAAAAAGACACACACATTCATACTGAGATACATACTGACAGACAGACATACTGACAGCCAGACAGACATGCATACTGACAGACAGGCATACTAACATAGACAGACATACTGACATACACATACATTCTGACATACACATACATGCATACATACTGAAATACACATACATACTGAAATATACATACATACTGACAGGGCCGGTGCAAGGATTTTTGCCGCCCTAGGCAAAAGTAAAGTTTGCCGCCCCCGACATCACAATGCCCCACCCATATGACCTGCCATGTTAACTAACGCTAGTGCTGCAGTGCCGCTGTGTTTACATTAAAAGGCCTGCAGGGACAGGCTAGACACCAGGACCACTACATTAAGCTGCTGTGGTTCTGGGGACTATAGTGTTTTAATGTGAGGTAAATTAGAGATTAGTGCCACGAATAATATACTAGATTGCCTACTTACAACCAGATGAGGATGATGATGGGCTCTAGCTGCAGTCTGGCTCCACTGGTCTGGTGCAGAACAGGCTCTCTGGAGGCGGTTTGTAACTGTGGTCACAAAAATCAATGTTCTGGGAGAACGGGAAGCAGCTCCATTTTTTGGGGGTCCTTTACACAGCTCAAGGTCTGGGTCCCAGGGTCCACCTTCATGTTCCACCAATGAGTTTGTTCACAGGGGGTGGAGTGTGTAGGGGATGTCCTGATATGTGTGTAAGGAATGCATTGTGTGAAATTGTGTTTGCATGTGTAAGGGCTGCAAGGTGTGTTTCTGTGTATGTACGGGATACATTGTGTATGGGGTTGCATTCTTTGATGTGTGTGTGTGTGTAATGCATTGTGTGTTTTTCTGTGTGCAAGGGGTTCATTGTCTTTGTGTGTAAGGGGTGCATTGTGTGGGATTGTGTGTGTGTGTGATGGATGTCAATCTCTCCCCCCTCCCTTGTCACTCTCTTCTCCCCCCCTCCCTTGTTACTCTCATTTCCCCTCCCTCCCCTGTCACTCCCCCCTCCCTGTCAATTTCTCTCTCCCCGTCAATGTCTCCCCCCCTGTTAGTTTCTTTCTCCCCCCTCCCCTGTCAGTTTCTTTTCTCCCCCCTCCCCTGTCAGTTTCTTTCTTCCCCCCTCCCCTGTCAGTTTCTTTCTTCCCCCCTCCCCTCCCTGTTTCTTTCTTCCCCCTCCCTGTTTCTTTCTTCCCCCTCCTTCCCTGTTTCCTTCTCCCCCTCCCTCCCTGTTTCCTTCTCCCCCTCCCTCCCTGTTTCCTTCTCCCCCCCTCCCTCCCTGTTTCTTTCTTCTCCCCCCCCCACCTCCTCCCTCCCTGTTTCCTTCTCCCCCTCCTGTTCCTTCCCCCCCCCTCCCTGTTTCTTTTCTTCTCCCTCCACTCCCTCCTTCCTTCTCCCCCCCCTCCCTCCCTACCTCTCTGTAGCGTGGCCGAGCCCAGTATAGTCGGCGGGTACAGAGAGCATCTGTCTCCTGTACCCGGCCGGACTAACAGGAAGTGCACACAATGTGTGCACTTCCTGTTAGTCCGGCCGGGTACAGGAGACAGATGCTCCCTGTACCCGCCGGCTATACAGGGCTCGGCCACGCTACATAGAGGAAGCTGACAGGAGGGAGCGCTCAGCGCTCCCTCCTGTCAGCCTCTCTCCTCAGGCTGCGCCCGGGCGGTGCGGTCCGCCCTCATGGATGCACCGCCCGGGCAAAGCTGCAGCCGCCTGAGGCTCTTTACAGAGCGCTCGGGCGGCTGCAGTATGAGCGGGGCCGGCGCTCCTGGCGGCGCCCCCTCCCAAGGGGCGCCCTAGGCGGCTGCCTAGTCCGCCTAACAGGTAGCGCCGGCCCTGCATACTGAAATACACATACATACAGACATACATACTGATATACACATACTGACAGACAGACATACTGACACAAATACAGACATACTGACATACACATACAGACATACTGACATACATAATGACAGACACATACAAACATTCTGACATACCCACTAACACTCTCACACGCACAGATCTAATTTTTCAGCCACCCTCCTGTTTCTTACCTTTTCAGTGCAAGAGTGTTGCTGGGGCTGATGGGAGTCGGCTGTCTCTCCCCTCCCATTCCACGCAGAGTGAGCTGTGAGGAAGTGACCACCCGTCACTTCCTCCCAGCACTTCTTGCGGTGTGGCTGGCATTTTTAAAGGGGCCCAGTTGCGCTATTACACGGCCGCAGCGCTGAAAGTTTAGGTGGTCCTCAATGCTTGGGCCACCCGATGGGCCCTATCAGAGTGCAGGCCTTGGTGCAGCTGCACCGGCGCCAGTTCCACCGATACACATGGTGCCCGGTCATGATTGTCACCCTCTGATGGCGCCTCTGGTTACACGGTTAAATATAAGGCTTAATTTTCGGTTTTTTCACATTGAAATTTGCCAGATTGGTTATGTTGCCTTTGAGAGCGTATGATAGCCCAGTAGCCCAGGAATGAGAATTAACCCCCATGATGGCATACCGTTTGCAAAAGAAGACAACCCAAAGTATTGCAAATAGGGCGTGTTTAGTCTTTTTCACACACACTGGCCAAAGTTAGCGTTCATAATTGTTTTTTTGCAT